GAAAGAGTGACTTTGTATTGCCATTTTTGGATCAGCTGTTCCTCTTAGCTTCTGCCATTTTACTGAAAAACAGTTGTCTCTAACAGTGGCCATGTAAACTATGATTCAGTTTGCTTCTGAGCTATAATGCACTGCTAAGTTAGACTCCTGTGCGTGTGTGTATCTACATATGCATATGTTGTTTTGGTTTTTTTACTATCAGAATACAAGTCAGTTGATGACTGTGAGGAGTTGGTCATCAATGCTGCAACAACAATCAACAATTTATCCTACTACAAAGTGAAGAGTTCTGCTGTTCAAGACAGGAAGCTACACATTGCTGAAAGTAAGGACTTTTAAACTAGTAGATTTTGTATAGCTTTTTTAAAGTGGAAGTTACTGATGCTATATTTTGACACTACAGAAAATAAAGACACTGATGATGTTTTGTTGTATCATATTGCAGGAATATAAAGTTCATAGGGCTAAATTCTTCCCATAGGGATTTCTCATTCCTTTGGAACATAATTCTGTGACTTGTGTGAAAATAGTTAGGTTGTTGACAAACCCCCTTCTTTTCCTCCCCAAAGGAATTTGCCATATTGTTTTCTGTTTAGCAATTTTTGCTATACTTGTCCAAAATCCACATGCCTGAACCAAAATAATAATGTTGCTTTTTACTTCTAATCAGAGTATGGTAAAAAGGTTGTTTGTTTTTCTTAGTACCTTCTAGATGTGCAAAATCTGATTTATGTCTGTTTCTGGCTTATAAATCCATTGCTAGTATAGGAGTCATGTGATTCACTCTCCTCTGACAGTATGGACAAGAGTCATATTTTAGTGATGTGTAAGAACTGCATCTGCATTCTGGGACTCACTGAGTTAATGTTATAGAAAAGGTAGAGAGTCTGTGTCTTGTATGTCTTGGTCTCTCGAGAAGACGTGGGGGAGAGACGGAGCCTGAAGTTTGCACAACAGGTAGAATGAGGAGTAGGTAAAAATATTCTGACTGTCAGCCTAGTGCCCTGACTGGTAGACATAATTTTCTGTCTAGGTAACAGTTCTGCTGTTCTGTCACAAGTCATTCTATCCCCCATAAGCCAGCTGTCTCTCATGGCTAGTCAGAGAAATACGGAAACAAATGACTTCTCTGCCTGTCCCATTTGCTCTCCCTCTTCCGTTTTTATTGCTAGCATACGGAATCAGTCCTATCACCTTTCCTCTCTCTGAACTGAGGAGAGAGAAAAGCTTTTGATGGAAGACCAGCAGGCTTCCTCCTCCAGGAGACATTTTGAGAATACTTGCTGTTTGATACAAATGGTGAATCTCAAAGACAAAAAATAATAATTTTAGATGTCTTTTTAAGGCATGTATTGCAACAGTATTGCAACATTCAAAGACGGAAGTAATGGGAATGAAGCCAGCCTCTTTTCTATATTTTTTTCCTCTTTTCTGTGGTAGAAGTGTTAAGGGTTCACTGACTTGAGTCCTTTATATGATGGACTGATTTCAGTTGTTCACTTCATACTCACAGAAGACTGGTAAGATGTAACTTCTGTAACATTACTCTGTTGCTGTGGACCAAAGACCTACATGATGGTAGCTCTTCCTAGGAAATGCTGAAGGTCTCATTCTATCTGCTGAAGTTACATGCTAATCATACGTGAAATGGCTAAGCAGGAAAGTAGCAAGCAAGTAAACGCTTCTGATCAGGGGCAATATTAAGTCACTGTTCAGAGAAAGTGTGTTTGCTTGTTATAGCAGCACTGAAAGAAAATAGACCTAATGTCAGAAAATAATTTGAGTTTTAGGAGACATCCCACCATAAGACCATCTGTTCAGGATCTAAATCAATTCTCATATATATTACAACATTTTTTTCTTCTTTGTCTTCCTGGATTTTCACATGAGCCCACTCAAAACTGTACAGCAAAACTGGCACCCATTATCACAACTGTGCTTAGGCTATCTTCGTAACTCCTCATCTGTTCTTTTGCATTTAGTCCCATATTGGAGCTCTTTGTCTCATCTTCAAAGCCCTACACAATTTAGCTCTTGTTCTACCATCTGCTCACCCCCTTCACTGCAACCAGACAGTTAGATAACTGTTCCCATTTATTACATTTATTGCTGTTGCAGCTTGCGTTCTGATACTTATTGATAAAAAGCCAAGCACATGTTTGTGACATACAAGTGATTGTTTTTATGTCATTTCTCTGCAAACCAATAGTGCTTTTAAAGCTGTTAATGAGCAACAATATGGATGGAGTTGTAGAAGCTGTCAGAGTCTTTGGCAATCTTTCCCAGTATCATGAGATCTGTGACTTCATCATGCAGAAAAAGAGTGAGTTACTTTTGCATTTGTGGGAGTCCTGGTTTTAAATGTCCATAGCTCTAAAAAGGAAAGATTGTTAATAAGCTGTCTCAGTTAAAGGGTAAAAGTAATCTTCTCTGATGTTTTGTGAATTAGGCAAATGTTAGAATTCAATAGTAGTCATTATAAACACCATTTTATTTCAGTTTCATTAAAATGGAAATATTGCAGTAGGAAAAATGTGCCATGGTGTGCCTTCACAAAGGTATATATTACAAATACTCTGCTTTTCCTAAAGATTATAATTTTGAAATGTCCCTTCACTCCTTCAGTTTCTCAAATCCTACAGGTTAGTAGTCATACGATATAAAATGAAAATCCAACTTAATTCTTATTTAGGTTCATAATCACAGGTTTTTGATTCCTGTATTCAACAACATGTTATGCTTTGTAACATACATTTAAGATGTTAGACTACCTCACCAAAGAGACCTCCTATTAGCCTCTGGGTGAAGCAGGATACAAGTCTTCTCAAGTCGTTTTGCTTTGGGTGTCAAAAGAGCTTTGGGAAAAACAGCAACTCCTTGCTATCCACAGAAGGTGTGTCACAGGTTTAATTAAACATCAGTTCATTGTGAATTTGTTGTATCTACCTGTCAGTGCTCAAAGTGAGGTGATAGGCCACAATATACAATCTCTTCTTTCGTGGGTGGACATATCACTGCTTTTGGAGGAGCAGGTATCTGCAGAGGGAGCACTGACATTTAGTAGCTAAGGGTGGTGATGTGCTCAGTCAAAGTACTGAATTTTCCACCTTGGAGAGACTGTGGTGTTGGTGCGCCGAGCTCAGGAAGAGCGAGAGGCTTCCTTTCCATTAGGCAAGACTGACGCCCTCGCTGGGGTTGCCTTCCACTGCCTACTGAGTTTGGCGTCAGCAAGCGCTGCGAGATGCTGCACGTCCAGTGTCTGCTTCTTGCCTGTCTCCCGCAGGAGCCCCAGGCTGCAGCAATCCCAGCTGCACTTGGTGCAGTCTAGGGCAACCCCGCCACTCACGGAGGTAAGAACTTGCCTCTCTGAGTGCCAAATCTAGCAGTTTCTGCTTACTGTGCGATTGAAAGGAGGGTGATACGAAAGAAATCAGCTGTAAATTAGTTTGGTGAATGTAATCTCTTCTGACTGGATTTTCACATGACTTTGGTGTATTTTTATATTTAGAATTTTAAAGGTGTTGCTTTGAAGAAAGCTGGCGTTCAAGCGTGACGTAATAGTGGCTGTTACTCTGGCTCATACACCTATGCTATAAATGTTGCAGTAATATGCTACAAGGTTAAATTTTTGGGTAGCTATCCTGCATTTGACTGCTTTCAAAGTATACATGTTTAATAAGTATGTTGTAATGCCACCTGTATTATAAGTGCATCTTCCCAGTAACATCGTTTCCTTTACAATCCAGTATACAAGTTCATGATTGCTTTACTTGATGCCAAGAGCCAAGATGTCTGCTTTTCTGCCTGTGGAGTTCTGCTCAATCTCACAGTAGATGAGAACAAACGAGCTCTTCTGATGGAAGAAGGAGGAATTGGAAAGTAAGTTCCTGATTATGCTTATGAAAAAGGGAAGTTCCAGTAGTTTGGTCAAAGAGTTTCAATCAGATTCTTTTTATTGTAATAAGGATACATACTTAATAGATATTCGGCATCTAATGTTCTTCAGGAAAAAGCCTTTCGTATTCTTCCATGTGTTTTTTGCAAAAGCATTACAGTGGTTTAGCCTACTGCAGAGCCGAGAACCACTGAATAATTTCTCAAAGATCCTCCTGATACACACAGCAGAGGAGAGTACCAGGCAACAAAGCAACTAAGGCATGGCTTTGCAAATAGTTGCTTAGGCCTGACTTAACTGAGTCCTTCTGTGGGCTACAGTAAATAGGCACTATTAATGTGTGTCTGTTCTAAGTGTGAAGATTACTTCAAGAACTATGATACCCCACACGGTCTCTTGCAATTTTTGTAACTACTTAGTACTGCAGGGAGAACTATCTGAGGTAGCCGTGCTCAGCAGAGAAGAAATAGCTCCTGAGACTCCTCTCTCCGAGAGTTCGAGTTTAAGGCACTTATGCTGTAAGTGATGTTAGATCTTGAAAAACCACTGTGGATGCAACACTTGTGGCTTTGATGTTCAGATAATACCGGATCCAGCTTAATTGGAGTAACATGAAAGATCATGTTCCTATGCTTGTAAAGTAATTGATACAACCCACATTTATGAATCAATATGCCCAACTTTGAAATGCTTTCCTGTTCATACGTCATATAATTACTTTTTTAATACAATGTAAACAATGCATGGTCTGTTCATCCTTCCTTCCCATGTTCTAGTTAACTTACAAAATACAAAGCTGAAAAAGAAGAATAAAAAAAAGTTGCAGGCAAACTGAATAATAATTGTGAGAAATTTCTATTATATAGAATTTCTAATATACAGAATATGGAATATTCTATAGAATATAGAATCATGTAGAATATAGAATTTTCTATACTCTGTCTAAAAATTTGTGAAGAAGGAAGGAAGAACAGTAACAGTATGGAATAAATCTAGAGAATTTGGAAGTGATTGTTAAGGAGGTCATCCTGACTGTGCCAAAGCAGCTATGTGGATTTTAGAAATGAGGTTATTGTACCAATATATAGTGGCCCTAATAAAACATGGAATTAGTCTCATCAGAGAGTTAAATTTCAAAAAATTAGGGCAAGCTCTTTTGGCTTTTCATTAGATGCCCCCCAGTCTTCCACAGTGACTGCCTTCAGAGAGCAGAGAACAAGCAAACCTCTTTTTGGTTGCTTTTCAGTTACTGGTGTTTTCAGCCATACTTGAATGTAATAGCTATCCCATGTTCCCTTTACTAATCACCAGATTATAAAACTCGCAGCGAAGTAGAGAAGTGAGGGAAATTTTTTTTAGGGTTGAGGAAGAGAACAGCAGTGAAGGATTACTATTAGAGAAGTCACTAGGGACAGCAGGTGAAAAATGGCGTTTACTTCTGCTGACCCAGCACTTGTGAACACTGCTGTTTGGTAATGGGAACTTACTGTACGTAAGCTGGTGCAGCCAGAGGAGTTATAGCTTAATTTCAGGGTCCTGCTTTTGATCTAGCCTGCGTTTGGTATCCGCAAGGAAGTTAGATTAGAAGAAAGGTCAAGAACCTAGTGGTCCTTAATAAATCTGGAATTTCTGAGAGGAGTGCATTGGGAATGCAGGCTGAGAAAATATAAGAAGGGGCGAGATCTGCAAAATAGTCAGACTTCACTGAACATAAGAGGTAATTCTGTGAGTCATGGAAGTAGTGAATTCCTTTGGATTTGTCTACTGGTCAGATCCTCTGATGTGTAATAAGCTGGAAGTTCTGACTGAAGCCTTTTCTGCATTCATACCATCTTTTCCAGATGAATTCTTTGTGCCTAATAACGTTTTGCTCACTTTGCAACTTCCAGTCATAGCTACAGATTTGGGACAGTCACAGATTGTCATGAAATTTGTTGGCATTTTAGTGTGCCTGAGATGGTTACATTTGTGATGTATGTGGTTGAAATTGGTCAGTTGGGTTAAAAAGTTACGGGGATGGACAGATGCAAGCAGGCATACGCACATATGTCTAGACAAAAGGCTTGTTCACATCCTTAGGGAACTAGACTAAATGAAACGGGGGAAGTTACTGAGGAAGAAAGTAGCATCTTAAGTTTATAAATGTAGAATTTTCCTGCAAACTTTCATGGAGTCTGCATGCATTTCAAGACTGCCTAGTTTTGAAGGGCTCAGGAGAAAACTACATGGAGCAAAACACTGTTTTTGTTTGATACTGGCAGGTTAGTTGACTGTTTACGAGACTTTGGACCGTCTGACTGGGACCTGGCTTGTTTGATATGCAAAACCTTGTGGAACTACAGTGAAAATATCACAAGTGCAGCTTCATGCTTTGGAGAAGATACCGATGTGTTGCTGGTGCTGCTTACATCACTCTTAGGTGAGATTCATGATCATGGTATATTTCCCTTAATAAGAGAAATAGAAGGAGCAAAATCAAAGCAGTATTAGTTTGGGTGGGCAGTCTGTCATGCAGCTTTAAGTGGTTGTCCAGTATAGACTATCAGCAGCACAGTGGTCTATTGCCATTCAGTGTATCCCCTCAGATCTTACAGATTGCCAAGGTGGAATTTGCCGCTGTCACTCCCCACTCTAGTTTGTCTAGTTAGCATGCCACTAATGCTTTTCACCAGCTGCCTTTTTATCTGCTTGAGCCAACTATCCCGTAGACCTTCAGTGCAAAACATCCTTTTCGCTGGATGTGGGCCCTTCTGACCTCAAAGGTCCTTGCAGGTGTTGACAGAAGCGAGGGCTCAGCTCTGAAGCGCCTGGTTACTGCACAGCACACACCGGGCCGTCTGGGGAATATAGATGGCTTTTCCCCCGAGTCGGAGGGCTCTGTGCTGCAACAGGCTGAGCTTGCTGCTTGTGACGAGTCCCTTAGCTGCCCATCTTTTCTCACCACGATCTCCTTGTGGGCAGGGACAACATTCTGACGATTTCTCATCTGCTCCCTAAAGCTAGGGAGGGTGTGCTCCTCCACAAACACAGGCTGGAAGGTGTCTGTGAGTGAATGTTAAGACTCTGATTCACTGACCCAGTTGGATGCGTTCATCTGCACATTTATGTTTGCTTCAAATTTTACAGAGTTTAATTGCTATGTAATAGTCCTATAGTCACTATATTTAATTTTCCTCTTTTATTTTCTGAGCACTGCTTTGGTTATGATTTCATTTTGGGTTGCTCCCTAAAGCTAGGGAGGGTGTGCTCCTCCACAAACACAGGCTGGAAGGTGTCTGTGAGTGAATGTTAAGACTCTGATTCACTGACCCAGTTGGATGTGTTCATCTGAACATTTATGTTTGCTTCAAATTTTACAGAGTTTAATTGCTATGTAATAGTCCTATAGTCACTATATTTTAATTTTCCTCTTTTATTTTCTGAGCAGTGCTTTGGTTATGATTTTATTTTGGGTAGGTCATTTGCACTTATCTTTCTAAAAATCTTTAAAATGTAAATGAAATTGAAGCAAACCTTAACTATTTTAATTGGAAATTTACTAATGATGTATGCTTGCTGTGTAGAAGGCTGCATGTTAGTCAGACCCAGATAGAAAGTGAGATCCCCATGGTCTCTTTTGTTTTTAGACAATCAGAAAAGTGGGTGAATTTGTGGGGATTTTTTCCAGTTACAGCAGAATTACTCTTATTCATTGCTGTAATCATTCCTTGCATTACATTCCTTGCTATGATAGAGCATATCTTAATGTGGGCAGTAATTCCATCTATTTATCTGAAAATACACAGTGTTTCAAGATCATTAGTGTGCTTTTTAACATTCTGCAATGGAACCGCAAACTTTACAGCCACAATTGTGCTTGAATTTTCTGGCATGCAGCAATGAATATATATCTTTGTTTTGGAAAATTCTTACTTATTTTTTCCTCTGCATTTAACACTGCTTATTCCAGCAGTTAATTTGACTGCAGAGTCCTGGCTAGGTAGTAATTGGAACTCTCATTAACTAGTACAGCTTTTGTGAACTGGAAGTTCAGGTACAATTGCAGTTGCAGTTACAATGCAACTGTAGTGGCAATTAGTTAAAAATAGGTCAGAATTAAATCAGAAGCCTAGTTTTTCTTCACACTGTAGTCAGAAGAGTAGCTGTAGAAAAAGTGCATCCTGTTCATTGGATCTGGTTTCTCTGCGTGTTAGAGCCAACAACTTTCAGTAATAGCAGCTGGTTAATATTGTCCTACATCTTCCTCCTCCTGTTGTATCCAGTAACAGCCTTGAACCATCATTGCTCTGATTCTATCATTCAGGAAGCAAGAGGCAACTGCCAACAGTCAGTGGACTGTGCTTACGCATCAGCACGCCTTCAGGAAGCAGAAAAAGTGGAACATGGCACAGCAGACACCTCACTTCACCTGCTGTGCTTGGCCTCCTCCCCTTTATTTTTCTTTCCCCTACCTGGCACAAGATGACAGAAGCTATGAAGGAGCCAAAAGGGAGTGGAGGACCTGAGAAAGGCTGGACAAAAGGCACCATTTGTTTTTCTTTTTCCCTGCCTGATCCCAGCAGCCTGAGATGCAGTAGCACTGCTTTCCAATGGCACTGTCATTTGCCGCCTTTCAGCTTCTCTTGAGTTTCGTGTCACTTCATTGGCTCAGAGCTCCTGGAGGCTGGTGTTTGCAGGCTGCTGACAGCAGCTTTGCCTTGCCCCGCTCCCTCAGGAGCCACAGTGGAGATGAGCCTCTGTCTTGAGAATATTTTTCTATTTGGTCATTCAGTGAAATCTCCTTTCTCCCTCTCTTTTTGCAGACTTTTTTTCTGCTCACCTTTACCTCCACTATCAATTCAGGGAGGTTATTCTGGAGTCTCAGTACACGTGAACTCTTACATGGCCTGATGATACATGGCATGATTCCAGGGCTCCTGGCCCCTGTCTTGTCAGAGTTACAAGGATGGGTAGCCCTTGCAAACTAGGGTCTGTACTCTAGTTTTCAGCTTCCCCCGTAGCATGTAGACCCAGTGTGCTTGTCTCCTTCCCGAGCTTCCAGCCAGTTTGTATGCTGTTTGGCCAGTACCCAATTTTGCTAGTTTTGAGGAGGGTTGTGGGAAAATTAAATTATCTGAGGATGCACAGCTTGCATGTGGGACACTGATCCTCGCTGATCCCCAGTGTTACTCACGTTCTGCTTTGGGAAATTTACTGTTTTGGTTCAACACTTCAGCTTTTGAACTGGTTTTGACCCTTGTTCTTGTAAGCTGGAATTCCCAACCTCAGTGATTCCATAAACATTCAGCTTCTGGGGGGACACAGCTGTCTGCTAAAAGGGAGAAATGTCTCTTGCTCTGTGTTAGAAGATAGTTCATTTGGGCAGAAAAATCATTTCAGGAGTAGGCAAAGCAATTCTACCTGAAAACAAACCCCATAATCCCTTATCTTTCTCTTCAGGGTCTCTCACTTCTCTGCTGCTGAGGTTCATTTTACATATGTTGGACTATTGTGCCATTGATAGGACAAGAGCTAATGGGCACAAGTTGCAATAAGAAAAATTCCAATTAAATATTAGGAAAAGAATTTCTCACCATGGCAGGGAAGACGCTGCCCAGAAAGGCTGTGGAATCTCCATCCTCGGAGATGTTCAGTACTCAACAGTAGGTGGACCAGAGCAACCTGATCTATGGTGGCTGTGCTCCAGAGGTCCTGTCCAACCTAAATTATCCCATGATACCATCAAATATAGATCTGATGTCTGGGGCTGGATTTTGTCTCTGATTACAGAGTTCCTTCCTGCAGAGATACGACATGTCTTCCTTCTTGAAAGAATGGGCTTTTTTTTCCCTCTTTATTTTACTACAGAAAGCCTCTAAATATCTTCTTCTCTTTATGCAGAACCCCTTTGGAATCTACCTCACAATCAGCATCTCTTTAATTTTGGTAATTTAGAAACACTGTAGTGACATAGAAGTCAAGTACTGTTGGCAGTTACTAGTAACTTTCTATGAAATGGAGCCCATCTCCATGCAAAAGTAATGTCACCTCTTCCTCTATAGCTGTCGCAGCTCTGCGTAGGCACCGTGGCATTCTTTGAAATGGGAATAGTTGCTGTTTGAGCGTCTCTCTTCTACACAGTTTGACTCAAAATGTGGGTAACTGAAGTTTCTCTTCAGCTCTGAGTTGTCTCTTACCTGCTGTGACTGTGCAGGAAGCTCCCTTACAGAGTTAGTTATTTAACAGATTGTGAACCTGGTGCTTTTTCACAGTCTAAGACAAAGATAAATCACATGCCTATTGGGTGCAGGGTTGTATCTTCATTTTAGGTCCGATTATGGCCTAAAGGCTGTCAGATATCCTTCTGTTCAACTGTATGAAAGCATTTGTTCAGCATTATCAGCTGTGTTTGTAGATTCCTGACTCAGGAGTATGCTTCTGGTTGCAGGCTGATTTTTTTCTGTAAGGGTTTGTTTCTTCGCCACATCCAATGCCAGGCAAAACGGAGGGGGAATAACGAGTGATGACTTCCTTTCATTCATTCCTAACATTGCTTATCTCTATTAAGTGTCCTGTTACTTATGAAGTTTGTGAGGAAGGGAGGGCATCATTAGTACAGTACCAGGGTGGTTCATGTTCTTTCACTGTGATAGCAGATATAGGAAAGAGTCTTCATGAACCAGATTAGCAAAGCAATTTGTGATAGGAAAAAAATAGTTGTAGTTAGATGAATATGATGACTTACATTAGCAAACCTGCTATGAGTAGTGTTAAAACCTGAGTAGTTTCCAGGCTGACAGTCACAGTAAATGTTTCATCTTGGAGCCACAGTTCAGCTACACCTGTGAGGTGTAAGAGTAACAGAGCCTGCCATACCCTTTGTACTGTTTTACTGACCTTAGCCTTCTCTGTGTTCAGTTAAAGTGACGAGCATCGGACAGTGATGCTTAGTGAAACATGGAGTTGTTCTTAAGCCATCAACATACGCAACTGATAAGTTGTGTGTGCTGTGCTCAAAAAATATATGGTTGGGTATATTTTTATTCAGAACTGACAATGATCTTTTCCTTGATTGCAGATGAAGAGCTAGCCTTGGATTACAGCCTCGACAGAGATTTAAGGGACTACCACAGACTATATTGGGAAAGAGAGTTCAAACCTGTGGCAGAAAAGCTTCTTGACAGAATTCAGAGCCATCACTCCTTTCTTCCCACTGTGACTATTACTCCATTTTAATCAGTCTGGTTTTTGGGGGGGGGGGGTTGTGGTGTAGATTGTACATCTTTTATTTCTGATATCCCTGTATATCACCATTGGGAAGCATGTTGGAGAGCATGGCAATTTAACTTTCAAAAAGTCAGTAAAGCCTAGCATTTATATACTGGGTACTATCTTTTGAGAAGCTTGTATTAAATTTTTGCATGTGTAATTACTTTTTACAGTATATTTGAGCTGATCAAGCAGCTGTTCAGTGTGATTTGTTTATTAGTTGCATAGTTTCTTGGCTGGGAAAATGAAACAAAACTATTTGCTGAACTTTTAATTTTGAAAAGGTAAATTACCACTGAGTTGCTGGACCTCTGTGGTACCAAAAATGCCATGCGCTATAAAAGAATGAGAAGAGCCGCGTCTCACTTACGGGTCTCACCTTATGAGAGTGGTGAGGAGGAAACGTCAGTGAAGGTAATGAAATTTGCAATGTTCCTTTTGTCCCAGCAGTTTGGGTATTTCTTGTGAAGCGCGGTGAGAACTGCTCAGCAGTTCACTATGGTTTGGCTCCAACAACAGCTCTGCTGAGCTCAAAAAGTTCTCAATTACCATTCTGTCTTTTGCCATTTTAATTTTAGCTGAAGTTGAGGGGAAGATAAATGGCTCGAATGCCTCATTTGTCTCTTGGGAAAAAGAATGGGTTTGCTTTTTGGGGTATTACAGAAAGGCTGACAGGTAAGTCCCCCCAGGCTTGGTGAGGAGGGTGGGGATGCAGCGGAAAAAGCCAAATCCTGGCAGCAGGCAGCCTGGAACCGAGGTTTTGCTCAAGTCAAGGTGGATAGGTAGGCAATTAAGATTTGTTCAAAGAAAATGCCAGTTCTGCCAGGCATTACCAATCAAACTGTAAATGAAGGCCCGGAGTGCTGTGTAGCGTGTCCTGTGGCACAGGGTAAATTTGGGTGTCCTGTAGTGGAGTGCAAAGCTGGGGCAGCTGCTGTGTGAGCTCCGTCCCTGCCTTCAGTTCAGCCCACGCCTGCCTTGGGATGAGGCGCCCACAGAGGAGCAGGGCAGAGCAGGGCAGGCAGCGGCACTCACAGCACCTCACAGCAACACCCAGCGCTGGCTCCCCTGGTGCTGCACGGGTCCAGGTCTTTGAACAAAACTTGTGGGTAATGAGCCCCACAACACTGAATGCCTGATGCACTCTTATGTTAATTGCTGCTCATGGGGCAGACGGATCTGCCATGCTTCTCTAACCACAGACGCAAAAGAAATTCCTGTGTGGTTCTTTTTTCTTTTTTTTTTTTTCAGGTGTCCTACCCAGGCACAGGCAGCAGCCAGCCATTAAGTTCCCTTCACTTGGGCTGGTGCACACCATCCCCTTCCACGCGTTGCCTGGCCTCTAGGACAGGATCCCCCACCCGCATGGTCTTTTGGGGCGAGTGTCCCATCCCACTCGTGCCTACCACCTCTGTGGTTCTCCAGATGTTGCTGCTGCACACGTGAGCTGCTGCACTTGGCAGCCACGGGCCAAGGCTCTGCAGGAGCTGCTTGGGAGCTGTCCGGGCTCCACACCCTGCAACAGGGGAGGGCAGCTCACACACGCCTGTGTGAGCTCACGGTGCTATGGCTCGTTCCTTGTGCCTCAGCATCGTGCACCACAGCTGCTCCGTGCAGCAATTGCCACTTTTGTGGAGCATCTGGTGACTTAACCATTTTCTTGTTTTTAAAGGCTAACCCCACCAACGTCTTTGGTTGCCACAGCTTAACAGTTTTGCTTATCATCTACTGAGGACCACAACTGCCTCAGCATTTTTAATGGAAAAAACCCTGAATGTTTTCAGGCCCTTTCGCCAAGGTAAACAGCTCTGTGTGTGTGTGTGGTTGGGATTGTCTGCACATTCATATGAAGCCACTCAGACAGTAGCATTTGCTGCTTGCAAAAGAGGAGGGTACCTGCAGGAACCTTCCTGGCTGGAAACAGCCAGCTGAGGCTTCTTGGGAAAATTTTGTGTCTACCTTTGATCCCCCCCCAAAAAAAGCAGCAGGAGAATCAGGTGCTGCACAAAGTCCATTTACAGATTGGGAAGACACTTTTTCTGTGTCTTTGGGCATAGCTTAGCTTTATGCTATGTCCTTACACAGGAAAGTTTTGCTCTGTTTTTGGAAGATTAAAAATCCTGTATTTTTAGTTAAGAGGAAATAGCAGATGCTTCCTGTTAGTCACAATTTTTGACACTTTATTAATCTTTCTCCCCTAGATCTTTTGATATTTTAGCTTCTTGGACTGTAAGCTTAAAACTGTTCTCAGAACGTTCTGTAGTAAGAGAAACTCGTCTGAGCTGAGAACCAGGCCAGGGGACAGAAATCTTGATTTCATTCTATCTGTGGGCTTGGGAAAATCCATTTCTTTCCTGCTTTACAAATAAAGCTCCTACCTTCCTGTAAGCAGGTAGAAGTTTCTACACATGAGTGCACTCTAACCCCCATTACAGCCAGCTGTAGTCACTCCCTTGTAGCACATCTCCTCCCCCTGCATCTTGCTGTATGTTCCTCGGTCTGACTGCACAGACCTGACCATCCTTCTGCTGGCAGGTGCCTTCTGGCACAAGCCTGTGAACCTCAGCAGCCTCATCTGGAACTAAGGTCACTACTGAAGGATTTTAGACTTGGTTTGACTCTCAAAATAACATTTAGACCTAGTTACTGAAAAGAAGTGATTATATAAACATGCAGTTGGAATCTCCGATCCTATCACACCCATTACCTGTGAGGAAAGAGAAAACCCTGTATGACAGAGTATACATGAAGAAAGGATGAAAACATCAGGGCTGCAGGAGACAGATGTGTTCCTACTGTAGTTTTAGTGAAGATCTAAATCTGTTTTTCTTAAATTTTGTTTTCTGCCATTGTTTTAGACTCAGTTGAAAAAAGGCATGCTTTGTCATTTTAAGTATGTTTGCTCAATTACTGTTTCAAACATTTTAAAATGGTCTTTGAACCAGTAAGTAAACCAGTAAGAACAGAAGCGTGAAAGTTAAACCATGCAAAAACGCCAAGAGAAAAAGTTGTTACCTTTATTTTAAAAAATACCAATAATACTGACAAATTTAAAAAGCAATTCACTCTCATACAAAAGTATTCATGTATTCTCCAAAACCACTGTGTATTAAACGTCAGCATTTTAATCATGGTTTGATTTACTAAAAATAGGTGGGTTTTAGCCTAGTTATTTAAGCAACTGCAAAAATCAGTAAGACCAGCGTTGGGCATGTAACACAGTAGGACTGTTTGGCAGCCTAGAACAACATTCCCACACCTTCTCCCAGCTCCTGACCAGCTAGTGGTTCATCCTTGAAAAACAGGACAAGAAGCTACTTAACACTTCACGTAGTTGGAGCTCGAAAAAGCTCCGAGGACCCAAGTCCTCTTCTTGCCAGAGGAAGACCACTGCACTTTGGAGCTCACCGAATAATGCTGAACAAATGTCCCGTAGCATTTTAAGGCTGAACTATTTGAGAAAACTGACTGCTATCTTTCAAATTATCAGTGTGGACAGAAGAGATTTAATTCTGATTAAAAAAGAAATCTAAATAACAAGGCTTTTTTTTTTTTTTTTTTTGAAACCACACACAATAAAGGCTCAGACAATAGCAGTGCTCACTTTCACTTTTAGCTTAACTGGAACAGCCTGTGTCTGTTCACTCCACCAGCACAAATAGCAGCATCAAGATTTTCTAAAATTATTCTCATAGGGAAAGCAAATGTCATCAAGTCCCACTTCTTGTCACGCTCCAACTCCCGTAGTATTTGCCTTAACACAAGATCTATATATCTATCATTGGCTGCATTGCCACAAGTCCGCAGAGGGTCCCATGCTGCCTAAAGCCAAAAATACCACGAGCAGGCAGCACTTCTGCACAACCCTGTCTTTTCAACTGCCAAGCGTTCACTGCCGAGTGGCAGCAGTGATATTCCAAACATGGAAATAGCTGAAACTAAAGGAGTTATGGCACAATGGGCATCTTAACTTATAGCTACTCTTGGTCCTGAGGCTTTGTATCTTCCTCTGCCATACTGCAGCTGCAGAACATTCCAACGTCGACAGGCAGCCCGAGACATCAGGTCATATAGCGAGTAATAGCTCTCAGAGCATAAAGTAGTTCGGCTTGCATCCGAGCTTCTACCAGAAGCAAATTTACATGGACCTTCGGGAAAGAAAAGAAGTTACACTTTAACGGCGCACTCGCAGTAACGTACTCCAGCGAAAGGAAGTCTGGGGGGGGCTGTGGTTTTCATGTCGGTGTTTGCAACAGCAGTGGGGGAGCACTCCATGTTACAGCTACCCAGATAACAAGTTCTATCTGTTAAGCTTGCCGAGGGGGGAAAAGGCTGAACAAGTGCTGTGTGTAGCATTGCAGCACAGCGCCACGATGGTTCACAGGTACGCCTCATAGGAACAGGTAGTCATCCTTTACTATGCCAACTGGCTTAGACAAGCTTTCAAGCACGCAGGTCCTCCTTTAGCAGCAGACTATGCATGGCTTGAAAAGAATTGTTTAGATTTAGCTTAAGTTAATCAATTAGTTAAAGGCAAAAGGGTGGTTGGTAGCTGTGGAGCGGGGGGGGTGTTAGCAATGGAAGAGGCGATAAGGTCATTTGCCCCTGTGGGACAGAGAAAACACACAGGTAACAATCGCCACCTGAACAATGTGGTGTGGTTAGCTGAGGTTAACCACAAGAAAAACTGTAACATGCCATTCAAACTATTCTCTTTATTGAGACAGAGGTGTTAGGTAGCTACCATAGGTAAGAACTTTTGTTCCCCTGCTCATCTCCTCACTGTCTTTACTGTATTTCTTTGAGGATGAGATCAGAAACCATGTGAGGGAGGGGGTGAAAAGTATTCTCTCACTGACAGCAGGTCGGCAATAAGTTTGTTCTGACATGTAATGGTCATGTTTGGTGTCATTTGCATGATTTCCATGAGAATGGATGGCAGTTGCATTCAGTGATACATACATGTA